GGATCCCCAGCCGTGCCAGCCCTTAATGACAGCCCTGTTTTAGTATGGTCAAATACCTTTTCCTGCATTTCTCTGAACCAAGGCACCAACTGATGGCATGGGCTCACAAAATACAGCGATTTTTTTTTTTTGTATATGAAATTTTCCATCTAAGCTTCAAACTCATTTCATTGTGTGTACTCACTGGAGATGAATGAGGCAAAAATCTATGAAAAATAGTATTGTTGGAATAAACAGAATTGTTTTGTTGATGTAGTGAAGATAGATGTTCAATTCACATTTTATTTTTATTTTCTCTAGCACTGCAAAGGTCAACTTTATAACAATGAAGTACTGGATGTTTTCCTTCCAGCTGTTCACAGAATCCTTAAGCACAATATGGTAAGACTCTTACTTTGACTTTCATACAGATATGCAGCATATGTTGAACAGTGTTTTATTTTGTACTCTTAGACACTATTTTAAAGGCTGAGATTTGAGATGTCCTTTACCAATGAAGTAGAACTTTTGTCCAAGAAACATGTGTCAGAGAACATGTTTTCTGGGTGAGGTTTAAGTGGTTTCAGATGTATAAAGCAACAAGGAGATTTTTCTACTCCTGTCTTTTTGGTTTGCTATCACAGTGCTAACCCAGCACTCAAACATCCATTATCCAGAGACAATGTGAAGCAAACATTACTCTGTATGACCAGGCCCTGCTTGGTCAAAAGTTGGATAGCCTTTCCACCACATTAATTGGCAACCATTAGATATGTGCAAGGGAAACCAACTGCGTTATCCACTAGATAAAGGTTTTCAGAGTGGATAGCTTTATCCATTCTGGTGGCAGGTGGTAGCCCTGGGGACTTATTTATACCCTTGGGCAACTAGGAAATCTTAATTTAGTGTAAAACTTGTAGTATTATTATTCTGAGGACCCTTTGTATTAAATGTTTCAGAGTTTAAGGCTCTCTATTTCCTTCCCTGAAAGTTGAAGGGCTTGTTTTGTAGAATTTTCTTGCTTTCATTGTAATCTAGGTTTTTTGTTTAATCTAGCTAATTCTTAAAGGCTGTCTGGTTTTATACATGTACATCATGGATAATAGAAAGACTACATGTAGTCCTTTCTTTATAAATAGGAGCTGAAGCTCTTCAAAATGTAAAATTTATTTATGTTCAAGTATAGTTGAACTGCCATTAAGCGGCCACCCTCGGGGTACCAGCAAGTAGCCACTCAATGGTAGTTAGCCACTCAATAGAGGTTCATCATAAATTAGCATAATCTTTGATGGAAACATCAATTTATTTTGAAACAATCTTGCAACAAGAGCAGCGTAACTAGTCCACAGTCAGTTATCACCTTCTTTCTTGTACTGTATTTTCCTTCATTATGTTTTTAAAATAAAGCCGCACTAAGTGTAGTCAACACTGTCTTGATGTCTGCTTTATAGAGGTGACTACGATAGGGGAACTCTTTTCAGGTTTGCTGCTTAATCAAGGTTTGATTTTCTTTTCTACAATATTATTTTGGGACTTTGATAAATGGCTGCTTAATGGAGGTTGGCTGCATCATCGGGGTTCAACTGTACACTGTACTGTGTGTTAAAACTGTTTTCTTGTGGTAAAAGAGCTATTTCATTCTACAGACTAATCAATTAAAAATTTGAGCAACTCTGCCTACTAATTCTACTAGTTGACCAAATTTGATAACTCTAAAGTTTTGGTGAGTGTTGACTTGCTATTAGTTTTGAGCTGAGAATGAATGCAAGTTATCACAAGAAAACAAAACTATCTGCAGGCACTGGCGTGAATGAGTTGTAAGGGAAAACAAGTTTCTGTCTTGTGGTGTCTTACATCTCCATTGGGCCAGGACCTGTCAGTTAGACAAAGTTTAAAACAATCAACTTAATGTCTCTTTTCACAGAACACATATTGTCTTCCACAGGATTTTGGTAAATATCCCCATCTCCGAATGTTTGTTCAGGATTATATTTATACATTGTTCTGTAAAGATGAAGATGCAGATGTTGTTAGAGAATTTGTGGAGAGGTTAGTTGGTCTGCCTCAGTGTTCTTTCAGGCATATAGTTCTTTTGTGTCAAGAGTTTGGTCAGGTGGCCTATTTAACAGAACACCAGTTGAAGTACACTAACCATTTTAGTCTAAAATGTTTGGTCAGGAGGAAGTAATGGCGATGGTTTGGTTTTCTTGAGAGACTTGATATAATTTCTTGTGTGAAAACAATGCATCTTGCAGTAAAGAAACATTGTATTCCGCAAAGGCATCAGTAGCTACAAAGGAGAAGGATTTTAGTTTGACTAGGGTTCAGTGGTCACTTATCGGCCATTGAAAGTCAGAGTTTCAGGACAGACATAGGGATAATAGAACTGTACCATTTTTATAGCTTTAAAACATTTTTATTATAGCTCTCCAAATAACTATTATTGTAGTACTAATGTACAATACATTACAAAGTACATGTACCTTTGCATATTTTTCTTGGATGGCAAAAGCAACGATGGCACAACTTTGTTGTGCATCAAAGGTTAAGTTGTCTAATATGACTTGGAGTTTTCCAAAGTTACCTTTAACATACATCAGCAGTATTATACCTTTTATTTGCAAGCATGTGACTCTTGCAAGCACCCTTGATTACCAGGCTTTGCTGCCTGTTACAGTCTGAAATCTTCTCATCTTTGTGATGTGAATCATGAGAGAAAAAAGGCAGCTTTTCAACCTGTGTTAGTGCAAAGTGATACTCATTAAGGGAAACTCATTTGCTCATGTTTTTATGTTCCATAGCGTTCACAGTCCTGGAGCTGCATGTCCACATCCTCGTGTCCTTCCAAATCTAGTTGCTGTTGTTCTTTCTGCTGTCTACTCCACATTTGACCTGAGCGACAAGTTGTACGTTACTGTTTTACTTTGTGTTGATCGTTTTGTGCCAATGTTCTCCTTTATCAGAACATCAGTGGCTCTTTTACATTTTTATTTTTCCACACATAAAACTTGAAGGAGTTGTCAGAAGCTTTCAGCAAAACAATTTCTGGTATCATTTGGCTGAGAAGCCTTCTTATTTGGCTTATGGTTGCCTTGGATACCATCAACCATGACTACACTAATGCTTGTCCACCTCAAAAATCCCATCCACATAAGTGGATAAGTTTATGGAGTGAGGTTTAAGCAAGTGTCCATCTTAACCGTGTAGAAAATCTTGTCAACTTCTTCCTTGCGTCCCTTCCATTGGCTGTTTGACATCTTTCTCTTTTACAAATATCACCTCAAAATCCTACAAACCCAGTACCAATTTTTCAGGTATGTGCATAAGAGTGTTACAAAAGGCTTAATATACACATACAGACACCTGTACTTTGATCATATTAATTTTTTCAAAAAAAGTTCTTTATTTTCTTTAATGGTTATTACCTTTTCTGATTTCAGGCTTGTCAAGTATGAAGAAATTAACACTAAATTCCTACTGTGCTTCATGACAGTCCTGGACACAATGTAAGAACTTATGGGACACTGATTTTAACTAACTAAGCACAAATTTTTGTTGCAAGACTTTTGATAGAAAAATGTTGCACCTTCGTAATACCATCTATATCAGTTCCATATCAGCCAACAAGAATCAGGGTGTTATGGGTTCAAGTCTGCTCTGACTGTTAATATTATTGGGCCATTGCATGTAATATCCACCCATAAAATGTCGTTTAATTTTCAAGTGTGAACAAGTTTTTGTTTAAAATCTTACCAGTATTTCATTGCTTTCCATATAATAACGCATTTCATTTATTGAGGCTTGTGTTGATGATATTTTAGTGCACAATTTGAAGACTGGAGGCCTAGCCTGTCAACGCTTCTCCAGCCAATTCCATTTCC